CCCCCTCACCCTCATTTCTCCTAAGTTCGTAATGGTATGGGTGTCTTTGCCGTACAGTGTGGAGCGTGTTTTGAGATTTATTGTGGTAAGAAATTCTTCTCTGACACGATAAAAATGTCTGCCTTCGGACAATTGAGCGATCTCATAGTCTAGATGCTTCTTGGCTCAGCTTCATTCTTCTCTTTCCATACCGTACTCTTTATTGTGATTTTGACTTTGCCATGGGTAATTATAATTCGTCTTCAATTTCGAACTGTGTGAAAATACCACAGTATCTATCCTCCTGTTAAATGAGCTTTCCGTTAAAACAATATGAATTGTCTCAAAATGGTAACTACTAGTTTAGCTTACTCATCTTCTCTTCTTACTTCTAACTTCGGTGCACTGTTGATTTTGATGCTCTAGGATTGTGTTTAGCCATACGAGTTTTTACGAATTGTAGCTTTATGCTGTGAACAGGAGCTAATAGTATGTTGTTTTAGGAATCGATACGCCCTTTTATCTGGCCACTCTACCTGTGGGCACAAAGGAACCCTATGGAGAATTCGTCAGCGAACGTCAAGTTGTTGATCTCGATGCACCGTTTTACTTCTGATTGATCTCTTGATTCTACTTACTTAATTTTTGATACGCTTAATAAAAATACTACTGTAAAGTACGACTTTCCGTTGATTTTTATTCTTACTTTGGCGTCGTTAGAAGTGGTCAAAATTATTGAGGAGAGGGGAAATGCAAACATTAATTCAGTTTCGAAGTTGGTAGTTGTGAGGTGCGTACGTTTCAAGTCCTGGCGAGTTGAGCGTTGCATATTTCATAGGAACCGTGGTCTAAATAGATTTTCATTAAGGCACATCTTATAGGTAATGCAAAGAAATGTGGAAGGGCATAGAGAATGTAGGATGAGTCCCTGGGGTTTGATCACTTGGTGGAATAATTGCATCTGAAGGACGATGAGCAATCAAGTTAAAAGACTATAGAAGCTGTTTGTTACTTGCTCGATTGCAAAAGAAATAGGCAGAAAATGGAAGGAGTGCGGCATTTTCAAATAATGAGTGTGCACTAACTTATTGATATGCAATGGCAAAATTTCAATTTACAGATTATTCGAGGGCTAGCAAATGATTTCCCGAATTGCAGAAATGTATGACCCCTTATCCTATGTTTGAACGTTAAGTTCCTTACGTATATCTTCTCTTTAAGCTACTTCTTTATCTGTTTGTATGATCATTGTGTACTGTTGGATTAACGTAGTATCTATTCAATGAATGCTGATTTTTTATAATCTGTATCGAGTATTAATATAAAGGAATATTGAGACCTATAATTTAAAACCTAATTTATTCAGCAATTAAAATGTGACTGTTGGGAAAACCGGATCAAATATTTTCTGTGTGTAGCATCGAGTGAATTAAGAGTGGACACGATGAACCCGTCAGTCCATCCAGCTTACAATTAATTCATGGTATCCAATATTGACCAACCAGTTAGCCAATGGTTTATTTCATATCCAGTTCTTTATAAGTAAATCTAGGTTCTCTAAAGTGAACCGGGTTTTAGTCCTGCAAGCCTTATTCCTGATCCTTTCAAGAGTCTGTGGAGCGCGCGACGCTGTCCAAGGATGAACAAAGGAATCTCATGCGCACTCAGACAGACTCGAAGGTGAAGGCGCACCACATATCACATAGGAAGCAAATATCGTCGTGAACGTAGAGATCACCCAACCAACCGCCTATCAATAGTCCTTGCTGGGTTTAACAAACCCTTAATAGTATTATAACTGCTAATACCCTGACAGTAGCACACATTTCAAATTGACGTATTCCATATCATAGGTCAGTTTCCTCTATATCTTTGTGGTAATTCAGCTAGTCCCGGGAGCTTGTGCTAGAGAGATTACTAAGTATAAATCAAGGTTTCTTAGTGCAACAATCCTCTACAATATCGAGCAGTTGTGTTTCTATAAAGTGACTAACAAAGTAGGTTACAGACTTAGTAATTCTCTCCGAGTATTACAATTTCATAACATCAAAACCATTGTGGAAATTTCAAAACCCTGATTACTAATCACAAAAGACGAATTAAAATGGTATTGGCACTGCATGAATTTGTTTTTATTATCGATTTGCTTATTAAAACCGATGGTTTCAGTCGTCGTTTGATAAATAATGTCATTAACTAAAAAGGCTATTGTCACCATATTCTTTAAATCAATCCATAAATGATTACATGAAATTCGAGTTTTTATATCAAATGTTCAGAAGTTCAGCTATCTTGCTTCTTTCTGGGTTTTATGTGGTCGTTTGACAATAGTAATTAAGGAATAATAACTGTGCACCGTATATGCAAACATGATATATAACGAGCACATAATGATATCTTTTTCTAGATTTCGTCTTTATCACCATTTTTAAATAATATATCTTTTTATGTATTAAGGAATTATGTTTTTACCTAAACATCTCAACCAAGGATATATTTAGGTGTTTTGAAAACGAAACACATTTTCAATCCAAATCTCACTACTTATTTCATATTAAAGAAACGAATATAAAAGAACACTGGAAAGAATATAATTAAATGGCTTATGCATAAAATATCTTTGCCCCAACATCCACTAATATGATCGGGTTTGAAACTGCTATTTTGATTGGCTTTGGCTCAATTTTTGCGTGCTTTGTGTTTGTGCTTGATAATTATGAGTCAGGACGATCATACGAATCTTGTCAATCAGGTTGTGAACATCTGCGATATAGATGAAGATACTGCTAAATCTTACCTCGAAGCATTTAATTGGGATCTTAATGTGAATTTTTATTTCTAAATCTTATTATATGCCTACTCGTTTTGAGATTACCTCTTAATTTAACTTCACGGCGTGGTTTTCTTAGGCTACGGTCGAAAACATACTAAATGAAACCGATGATGTAGAAATTCCTGTTACGCGAGTTACGGAGTCAAGTTCTAGTGCTTTTGGTGGATCAAATACTCCTCTACCAAAACCAGGAGCCTCTCAGCCAGAAAAGCCCTCTGCCTCTGGTGCCATGTTTGCTACAATGTCTTCATTAAGCAGACGAGCGTAACTTTTTATTTGAAATCACTCTTAAATAACGCATACATTCTAGTGATCAGGGTTCAGATTCGGACGACGAGAAAGGTCAAGCTTTTTATGTTGGCGGTGCTGAGCATGGTGGTGGTGGGCAACAGGTACATCATCGCTCTTCTCTTACCTCGTATCTTTTTATAGGTGTTGGGTCCGCCTCGAATAGATAATCCTGAATCGTTTGTTAGGGAACTTTTTCATGCTGCTCGTAAAAGAGGGGCAGAGACTCTCGATAGAGCTCGGGTTGATGATCTCCCTTCTAATCATGGACCACAGTCGTTTTCGGGCACTGGGTACCGGTAAGCAATTAACACAGTGCACCGATTTTTTAATAAGGCTTATGTTTTATTGTTTGAGTTTGACGGAGCCTCTATGGTCGTTGTTGGCATAATTTAATAAGTCATGGTCAAGCTCGATTATGAATACATGAAGCTTTTTACCCTTTACCTTAGACTTTAAAACATGAAATACATTATTAAGAAGGTTGTTGAATATTATTCCTTGATAATACTACTCGCATTAAATCCAATGCCGATCAATTGAACAAACAAGCTAGTTTCTCAGAATACATTATGATATTCTCCTGACGTGATAAGGTAAGTAAGGTCTTATTGGCCTGAAATATCGTTTATTTTTTATTGCTAATCAAACAAAATGCAGTAGTTACGGCGTTTTTCGTGGACTCACAGTTTTCCTATCTCA